GATGTTAGGAGCTGGTGCTTTTGTTGTTGGCATGTTCTCTATTGGTATTTCCTCTGGTGTCAGTGGCATCTCCTCCGGTGGATGTATTCGTTGCAACTCCTGCAATAGCATATCAAGTTCAAGTCGAAAGTACAAAGTTGGAGGTTCTACCAATTTTGAATCGTTTGATCAATTTTAAAATACTATGTTTTAATTACAATGTGGAATATTCCAAAAGTATTTCAAATAGAGATATTTTTAGTCTTCCTGTTAAGTTGTTCGTCTAGATGAAATAAATATGAGCAGCAGTTCACACAAGAAGTAAAAGTGACGTTAGCCTTTCCCAATAGAACCGCCACTATTACATCAAGATGATGGTTTCTATTTTGCTAAAGTTATTACATATCAAACATTTTATTTCAAGTACGGTTATTATATTTTCTTACAATCGGTGAATCCATTTCTCTCTCCCAAAGAACTTTCACTTATAAATTTTTATATACTCCGATATGCTTTTTGAAAATTTTATATTTCTTGAAAGTTAAAAATAGTGAATTACCTGTTCATTTGATGAAATGTTTGAATTATCGGAAGAAGTAATATGAATAAGTGTACCATCTACGACATTATTGCTAGGAACTATATCCTGTTTATCCTGAACTGATTTTACCGATTCATGGCTCAAATCATACGACTGGGAGTGTGAACCTCCCATAATCTTCTCCTGTCCAATTTCAAGATCGAAAAAATCTAACAAAAAATTTCAATTAAATAATCGAATTAGATTTCTATATTTTATGAGTGAAATATATATACTATATCCTGTGATAACACACCACATGTAAAAAAAGAACAAATTTACTTTTGAAAATTGAATTTAATTCAAAAAAAAAAAATTTAATTCAAACATAAATGTTATGCTGGATCTCTACAGCTCTGAAACAACGATTTAACAATCAAATCGCATTCCTTTTCAAATGCTAAAAGATGAAGTAAAGACATGAAAAGCTTAAATTTGATTTGCATTTCACAATATTTGCAAGTCATCTACTGATCTAATTTAGATGAGTACTTCAAGAACTTTGCAACAGAAGATACTGCGGATGCAATTTTAGCTGCTATCATAGAATGAATTATAAGAAAGCGATATCATTTATCGCCCTATATCGTAAGTAATAAGAAGAGATAAAATAATAAAGTACCAAAGGATTTGAAATACAGATTTTATATTCGAATAATGAAAGTTTCACACAACCTATGAATCATCCTAAGCATTTAGCGACAAACAGCGTTTCAAACATCAAGATAAGGAACATTCTGGAAAAGATAGACAAGGAAATCATCACACAAAACCATCGTTAAGTTTTATTTTTTCTCAATAGCAAAATAAAGTTTTTCGAAGAATTTCGGAGTCCAAGAGGATAGCGACTGATTCATTGATGTTATCAAGGATGGCGATAAAAAATGATTCATTGACGTTATCGCGAATAGCAACAAAAGATGATTCATTAACATTATCAGCAACATCTTATCAGGAAATTTTGTATTCTCGTATAATATCAATGCATCACTTCAAATTTGTAACCACAAAATATAATATAGAAAGCATTCATTACTGCTGCTATACATATATACAAATTAGCCCACTAACATGCTGTATTATTGAATAGCAGTAAAAGAAATCTAATTAGAAAGGATAGAATTAAGTTGCACAGCAGTTATTACCTACCTAACACAGAAAACATATCATACTTATAGCACTAAACTGATTAATATTGCTGTCGGGAAAATGATATGAAAGAAAGAGACGAAAAGATCGTCTTTATCAGTTTCAGTATGACCATACTAAAATAAATAGTGCAAATAATCAGTGCCCAAAACGAAAATGCGCTTTCTTGAACACAGAGCATCATAAGAAACAATGAGAAACGAGAGGAAATATGTGATAAAAACTTTTAAAACATACAAGCTGCGACAAATCACGGGAAATAAAATAATAAATTGTATGAAAATAAAGGAATAAAATCAAAGGTCAGCACTGGTTAACATGGTCTTTTCTTCTTTCCGGAAAGAAAACGAAGTTGTTGATGAATTTGTAAAATATGTTCAGGAAATTTATCTGCCAATCTGTGCATGCGACACTCACACCATTCATTCCGTACAATACAATCAAGCCCAGCAAGTCGTATCACCAAGCCTTAAAGTATTACATACCGCCGTGCAGAATTTGTTGCACACACACACACACACACACACACACACACACACACACACACACACACACACACACACACACACACACACACACACACACACACACACACACACACACACACACACACACACACACACACACACACACACACACACACACACACACACACACACACACACACACACACACAGACACACACACACACACACACATTCCTTATAATATCAAATATGTTTTGCAAAGTTTTGATAAAAATGAGAAGAAAGTAAGAGAGAGAGAGAGAGAAAACTCTGATAATTTATTCCGTTAAGAGCAGATAATCTGGAAAAATGTGGTCAGCGTTTAAAAGTAATAAAAGTGATAGTTATTTATAAAAAAATTTGTTATTCTTCTTTCCGGCAACTCAACTCCTCTCTTGCTGTTGTTCACTTATTTCCAACGGAAAAACTGGACTTTAGTTAATTAGAAAAGTTTAAATTTGAAAGTGAATGCTATCAATTTCCCTATAGTTTAAATCTCCTGGGAGAGTGCCCAAATCGAATTTATACAAATTGCTGGCAAAAATGTTTACCTGTTATGAGTGAGTAGGATAAGTAGTTTTAACAAGAATTAAAATCAATTTTTGTTCTGAAACCATTCATTTGAGAAAGAATTGCATTTTTATGTGCAGTGCGTTGATCAACAATTGTAATGGATTTTTTAAAATATTTATTTTAGAGAGAGGATAAGGCATAGATCAAACATCTTTTGAAGGGAGTTTACAATAATGTCACATGCAATTATTGATAAAATTGATGATACTGAATATTAATTGACCACTTCATGGAATTCGTTTCCTTTTCCTCTGACAAGTTATGTCAACAATTTCATATTTCAATTCTGAAGTCGAATTTTAAACTCTTAATTTAAGACATATTTCACACAAAGACTTGTAAAAGAGGTATCATTAAGCTGTTACAATCAAATTATCACAGGTTTGATACAGCTTTTGTCATATATAGATGTTTTTTTTTTTTTAATGATTATAGAAAATTTAATATATGAACTTGTAACTACAGAAAATTATCACTTTTAAACTATTGCTCAAATAGTTTCAATTTTTAGCTTTTATTTATGATAATAATCTTTAATTACAGAATCACTGAGTTTATGATTAAAAAAATAATTCTTCCAGTGCTTATATACTACACTTTGCCGCTCTTCTCAAATATTTTATATATTTTTCAAATTTGAAATTAGTTTAATGTAAATCTTTCAAATTAGATCAAATTTTGGTCTACTAAAATTGGTAAATTTATTAAATTTGAAATCTAATTATACGTTCCGCATCATCTTTACTGTTACAGTCTCCTCAACTATGCTCTACTTATTTTATATTGCAGTTGTTGAATAAAATAATTTAAAATTGAAAAGAAACGACACTAAATTTATAATCGATATCTTTAATTACTTAAATAGATCAGAAAGGAAAAAAGGTGAAAGGACAATTAATTAGAAATAAAATTGACTGCTCCTTCTAATAGATAGTAAAATGGAATATTGCTGCGAAAGTAAATGTACGAGTTTATTTTAATTTTATTGTTGAGATGTACAGATGGTGAAAGAATTTCTTGATGCTAAACATATTCGACCATATGATCTTTCACTGTATTATCTATACAATATTTCTGTAAAAGAGGAATGACTATCAACTTTATTTCATGATAAACTAACGATAACTTAGTCTTAGTTCTGGCAATTTGCGGTTGAAATTTAGAAGAAGTGGAATTATTGATAAATTGACTCCATAATTTCTTGACTTTTTTAACACATTACTGTGTTTAGTACTATTTTGATTACATCAACCGACTTATTCAAAGAATTTTAATTCTGAACTTCATGAAATTTTCTTTAAACAAAGATCTAAAATTTTCTGCGTAAGAATTCAATTAAAATTCGATGATGCTAAATTTATTATTTAAAAATTTCAATTTACTATATGTAATTTCTTTTCACCATTTTAACGAGTAATTTAACTTCAAATTAGGCTTCAAATGCTGGAATGGTACAACACATGTGGAATTACTTAATGAACAGCATTAAAGAGTGGGAAGGAAGGGACATAAGAAAAGGTCAATCATATCTCTTTCTTTTTTTTAATAAAAATGAAAAGGAAGGTAGTGAAGATGCGAACTGCCAACAGCATCTTTATCTCTGACATTATTTCAATCCTCTTCACTCACTCAACTTTCATTTTAAATAATCCTCAAGCAACTGTGTTTCTTCACCACTCTTTGCAATCGCTCTGCACTAATTATAATTTTTCTTATTGATTTAATTTTTTCCACATTTGGAGTAACCATTTAAGTTCATTTGTTTAATTATTTCTTCTCATAAACTTCTATTTGGACATCTTGAATGAGAAAAGTAGGTGACCCACGGGCAGCAGAATATTTGCCTCAAACTTTACCTGAGTGAGAAAAGAATGAACAGATCAGGTAAATTTGATTGAGAAAATTATTGTGGGTTTGATAGTGACCAGTACTTTGCATTGTGCTCAAAATCACTGTACAGCCATTATTATGTTTATTATTGTGAATGTTATTAAACCACTGTAATTTTATTTTCAGCTTTTCTATTCTAAGATTAAGGTAACATACTGATAAAATAAAAAAAAAGCTTTTTGATACGATCACATATCAGATTATTTGCATCTCTAAGCTTTAAGATGGTTACGCGTTCTGTATCTTATTAAGCATATGTGCTACTTAGTTATAATTAGAGACTTGAAGTCAAATAGACTAGCCAGTAGTGGCTATGTGTCAACATGGTCAACCTCAGCGAATTAGTAGCTCCCGTAGTATCACTGATGATGTCACTGGTGGCATCACTGGCATACTGCAATGAAGACGCGAAAAGACTGCACGATGATTTGATGGCCAATTATAACAAGCATCGGCGACCAGCTCCAGCAGCTAATAAACCGATAACTATCAAACTGAAGTTGCGTCTCTCACAAATCATCGATGTGGTAAGAGATTATTTTATGCATAAACTGCTTCCAGAACTATTATAGATATGTTTTCATCTTTTCATCTTTCCTTTCTTCCTTTCGTTCCTCTGACCAGGTTCAAACATTTCGGACGGATACTAGAGGATTGGATTAGCATGACCTCAGCAGGAACTCAATTCCTGAAAACTACGTACTAATTAAGATCAAGTTTAAACTATACTGCTTTTGAAGCATTTGAATAATGTCTTCCTTTCTTTTCAAAAGAATATTTCTTGAATTTTTGAACAAATCGAATTCTTGAATTAAAATTTCAATTCTATTTAGCATGAAATTGATCAGATAATGACATGCAGTGTTTGGCTCAAACAAGTATGGACAGATGAAAAGTTGTCTTGGAATCCAAAAAATTACGGGGGTGTAAGTGTGCTATACGTCCCGTACGAAATGATTTGGGTACCCGACATTGTCCTCTACAATAAGTATTAATTTTCAACGAATAATTTCAATTTTATTTGATATTTTTAAGAAAACTAAAAGTTGAAAATACAAACAAAATGATTTAACCGTGTAAGGGTACTATAATTTTATTGCATTTTTAATTCCGATTGATGCATGAAACTTTTCAAAAATGGAACCTTTTTTTGTGTTAACTTGAATTCAAAATCAATCAATGAGGAAGCTGATACATAAGCATAAGATATGCATAAATTTCAAGAAAAAAAACCTCATACACAAAGATTCATTTTCGTTTTTCTTGTTTTAGTGCTGATAGTAATTATAATATAACAATCAGTACAAAGGCGACGCTTCGGTACGATGGCGAAGTGACATGGGAACCACCAGCAATTTTCAAAAGTTTATGTCAAATCGATGTCAGATGGTATTTCTTTTTCATACTACGTTAATACTTTCGATCATGAAAACTATAGTTTTGATCTATCAGTCGATTAGCTCAATAGTGATTTAATTTCACTGAAGAAGCTGAAGCTTAAACGTTATTTAAATAAATCAATAATCTAAAATTAGTAAAGATAAAATTTACAAGGAAATTTAATAGCAAATGATTATTATTACAGGTTTCCCTTCGATGAACAACGTTGCCATTTCAAGGTATTCGTTTTTGCATTTTGTGATATTTAGTAAAAATTGTATGGAGGTTTTTGAAAAATTCTATTGCGGAAAATAAAAAAGAATTCATAGTTTGGTTCTTGGACATACTCTCAAGATTTATTGGATCTGGAATTATTAGGCGGTGAGCCACATTACGAGCTAGAAGTCAGCGCAAATGGTGAAGTGGATAATATCACCATTGTCGATGATGGGATCGGTAATTCTTTCAGAAATTGCTCGTATTTTATCTGATAGTTTCCATCTCTCGAATCTAAATTGCACACATTGTTGAGATCATTTTGTGTGATAGCTGAAGAACAGTAATGCTTGTTTCGCGATTTATTGCTTAATTATCTTTACAAATTCAACCACCTCACAGAGGGACTACTGCACATCTTCACGTATTAATTAGTTCTGTTTGAACTCTGCCGCATGCAATGGAAACATGTGCTGCTGTACAACAAGTGCGGTCCTGTCGATCACATCACATGTAAGGCAAATAATATAGAATAGTTCATACTTCTCAGCACTTAAATATATTGCATATATCATTCATATCAGATCTGTCGGACTACTATCCGTCCGTCGAGTGGGACATCATATCAAGAGTTGCAAAGAGAAGAACTAAAAATTATGCCAGTTGTTGTCCCGATGAAGCTTATATTGACATCATGATAAGTTTATTCTAGTTTCATGTTCAAACTCATCATTTATCTTCAAAACTTCACTGCCTAATTTTTCAGTCAAATTTGCATAGCTTAGAATAATAATAAGTAATTATTCTTTCCATAATTATTTTAAAAAAGAATTAATAATTTCAGAAATCAATTTGTTAAATTTATCTGGTTCATGATATGCCATAAAATAATGCTTTAATTCAAATTATAATTCATGAATTGCAGTACTATCTGGAATTACGTCGAAAACCATTATTTTATACAGTAAATTTGGTTTTTCCATGTGTTGGCATATCATTTCTAACTATTCTTGTATTCTATTTACCATCGCATAGTGGTGAAAAAGTAACTCTCTGCATATCAATTCTGGTTACTTTAACTGTCTTCTACCTGTTGTTGGTTAGTTATCACATCTAAAAATAATTTTTTTGGACTTTGTAGATTCTCTTTTCGTTTAAACTAAACTTTTCAATTTTCAAGGTATATTTTCAGACTGAAATTATCCCTGCTACCAGTATCAGCTTACCATTAATCGGCAAATATCTGCTGTTTACGATGGTTATGGTTACACTCAGCGTGATAGTCACTGTCATATGTCAGTTTCATTATATTTTTCGTTCTTCTTTAATTTTTTAAATATAAAACTTGAAATTCGGTAAAATAAGATTGCCGAACAAACAGATGTAGTAAGTGTTCATGAGAGTATAATTCAAAAGACAAAGACTTTCAAAAGCCGAAAGTTTCAGATAATTGCAGAGCTACAATCAGTCATTAGAAATGACTATCACAGTTATATCAGTTGTTTTTCATTCTCGTTGTAATATATGATCTGTAATGCAATTCCGGAATGAAAAACTGTAATTGTGATTGGATGAGACATTCATTTTCTGTCTTCTATACTTGAACAGTACAAATACCGAAGAACATACTTGTTACTAGTCATTCCATAGTAGCATCTAAACCAGATTTTTTAAATCTTAGCCAAAATTCAATCGAAGTTAAAATTACAGCTCTGAATTTGCATTTTCGAAAGCCTACGACACATCGCATGCCTGAATGGGTAAAATGGTTTTTTCTTAAGGCATTACCCAAAATATTGTTCATGAGACAACCACTGAGTGATGTCAAGGATTTGTCTTGTAAAGGTAAGGTGTGAAGCGAAGAACTCGTCAGTTGTCACATTTCGATCTTTAAATTTAAGCAGGGATTCGAGATAAACAAGTCATGAACAGTTTATGTTTGACCTCAGTACATCGACTTATCATCAATATCAGTAACATCAAAATCTTGTTCTCATCTTGATCACGAGTTTGTTGCTTTACATTTACGGTTGATGAAAGGGCACTCTTTCAAGTTGTGCGAAACAGAAAGAACAATTCAAATGTTGAAAGAGTACAAGTTGGATCAGTCAAAGCGTTTGTAGCCAGTAGACAAATGAAACTCAGATTGTTTTTGTTAAAAAGCTTCATTATGGGAAAGCACAAAAAGCAATAAAGTAAAGAAGTCAAAGGTAACCCAGGTGGCACTATTTGCAGTTTGCTTTATAGGTGAACAGATAACGATGAATTATCACGAACATGCTGTAAGTAGAGATGACAGGAGCCTAATTCTGACTGAACCGGATGAGCGAATTCAGAAGTTGTATCATTCACCGCATGTAGTAAAAGCATTCGAAAATATTTGCTTCATTGCCGAATTGCTCAAGAAAAAAGACAAAGATGCTAAGGTGAAAAGTTTTTGTCGTATAGCTTTCTTTTTTTTTTTTTTGAAGTTTAGAAGGCCTAATTGGATCTCATTGTGATTTAGAAGTAACAATATCAGCATGATAAATAAGTCAGGAATAAGCACTGTATTATACTAACCAACTGAATTCGAGAGTGAATTAAACAGAAAATTGGAGGGTTTCAAGTTCTCATTAGTTATTAACCGTGCAAGGTTGATTACCGGGACATTTTAGAAATTTGTTTTGTTCGTTTGAAATAAAATCAATTTAGGTGGACGAAGACTGGAAGTATGTTGCAATGGTACTGGATCGGTTATTTTTGTTACTTTTATCGATTGCTTGTTTTGCAGGAACCATCACAATTCTCCTTCAGGTAAACCTAGAGTAACAATTTTTAGTCCCTTTAAGCAATATAAAATGAATGCAGACTAATTTGCAAGTTTAGATCTGCATAGAATTATGTTGTTTATTAGGCCTAAATCAAGCGTAGGTCCAAATTTGCTATGAAATGTCTATATTAAGACGCTTTTTATTGCAGGCACCAACACTCTATGACACTCGACAAGCCATCGATTTACAATATCGACCCACAAACATTACTTAAAGAAGATTTGGAATACTACTGCAGCACAATCAGTCACTGAGTGCTACATTTTCATGTTTCTAAGCACATCCCAGAACTTACAGCATGAATATGAAAATTTTTTAAGCGTAACATAATGTGTAAATTTTTGATGTTAAGAGATAAAATTTTATAGTGAATATTTGAGTGGAATGAAGAAAACAACAGAAAGGATTGTTTTTAATGACAAGCTTAGTTCAAGTTTAATTCCAGAGATGTCATGGAAGTAAAAACTTTTTTAATGATGTTTATTTGTTGTATTTGTTATATATATATATATATATATATATATATATATATATATATATATATATATATATATATATATATATATATATATATATATATATATATATATATTAGAAAAAAAAATCAATAATTAGGGCTCTGAATAAAAAGAAAGCATTCATAGTATATACGAGATGTGTATAAAACATAAAATAAATAGCAAAAGAGGAATAACATTCCAATCTATGCTAGTCTTTTTTCTACCTCTCTCTCTCCGATCGGTGCAGACCTTTCTTTTCAGGATGGTACTATACACTAAAAGGATGAGAGAATAATCAGTGAAAGGAATTTGAAAATGGCATAAAGGAATCAATTTCTCAATTTTGTTTTTGGTTTCGTAAGCCTATCAAAAGCATACATCAACAATCTTTCGGACTCTCACTGTGATCAGCGCCAGCAGCTGTCAAATGATGATGTCTCGAAACGACTGAGTGACCCTCACAGGAGAACAAATATAGCAAGGCAATATGTGCATAGTAGGAGCAGCACAACAAATAGAATCGTTTAATTTTTTAGAGTTTACTTTGTTCTTGTTGCTTGGCTGGCACTACCTCAAACTAATGACAGCTAATGCGACTGTGGCTGCTGTTCTTCTTGATGGTGAATTTATTGAATTTTAAAAAAAGGAGATGAAATATACCTAGCAGATCGATTCTCTGTTCGTCATATAGATCAATTTATTCCTTGAAAAGCATTCTAGGAGTTCTGCAATTATTCGTATAAATGGATGATAAATTCTGCAATTTTTCGTGTAAATGGATGATACTGTGAGGAAAAGGATTTGAATTTAAAGCTTAACAGTGAACAAACCTTTGTACATCTAAAGTTAAGGAACTTTCACTGTTTAGATCGATTTTATGACTGGGTCGGAATGTAACTGAAATTAGAAGAAAATAATTCGTCGTGTTTCCTCGGATTGATAATAAACTGAATGTCAGGATATTATCAATTAAATGGAAACAAGAAGAGTTAGTTTTTACTAATATATTTTACAATTTGATGCACTCACAGAATAAAGACACAGGGAATTCAAAAGAATGATTGAAAATGAACTGAGTTCAATTTGAAAGGGTAAAAAAACTTAAGAAATACATTCCTTCTACTATCATTACCAGTCATAATGCAAGAAATGATTATAATTATCAATTCTGGCAAATTTACTGTAATAAAAAGAGATACCATACTGTAAAGACTTCCAATCTTTAAATGGAGAAAGTCAGTTAACTGACTGCTAATTGAACAATAACATTAGTAGCAATAAATTCCTTTCAGTAAGCTTTCATATCACTTAACTCCTCTTTATCTGACCCTGAAACATATTACGGGATTGCATTTTGATTGGAAAATGTGCATCATACTGTCAAGAATGTACGTATTATTTATATTGCTAACAATTACGCTTATTACATAAAAATTAAAAACTTTTATAGTAACGTCAATAGATGCAAGCTCTTTTTGAGAATGGAATATGTGGTAAGTATTTGATAACATTGTAACTGTTTCTTTTCAATTTTCTGCTTATACTTTAAGTCTAATTTTTTTTTTAAGTCAATCTAATTTTTCTTAAAAACTTGATACATAGAATACTATCATGGAAACAATCTTCAACTTTGGAATTCTTATTAAAATAGAGAATTCATAAAGTCATTACTCAAGTTTAAGACACACTTCTAAACTGTAGATAATTTAGAACTTAGAATAGCGGAATACATTTTTAATGAGTGAAATATACCTAATTTGGATTCTAAAATCAGATCACATTATAGGACTGAATCAAAAGTCCGTTTATATGAACTTGTATGTTGAAAAGATGCGCAAAAATAAGCAAACAGATCATAGCAGATTATTTTCTTCTCTCCAAAACATTCCGAAAAGTGAGATATGCTTCAATTTACCATCTCTAAATATCATTTAAATTATAGGACCGACCAAAGGAAGTAGTAGCAAGTGGTTGGAATCATCTCAAAGGAAAAGATTTAAAGCAAGAAATATTAAAGTACTGATCGATCTCTGCTCTTGTTCATTGAGACAGTTCTTGAATTGATAATCCATAGAAAGTCAGAATAATGTAACTGATCTTCTTGTTCTTTTTCTATCTTCGATCAGTTCACTCATTTGAAATCTTCCCTTATTAGCTTATTAGTAATGACATTGCATTAAATGAAATGAATGGATGAAGTGAACTTTGTGTTTATGTCCCATCTTTCACTTCTAATTTATCCAAATGATTCAAAATGTTTTCATCAAGCCAAACTTGCCATGTTTATTTTGATCAAGACATAGGTAGTAGCATTGCGTTTACTATTTCATGCAAGTCTGATGTCCTCTAATAGCTCTACACCGTCTCATTATCATTCTTTGGCTCGCAGAAGAGACTGGCCAAGAAAAAGCGTATAATTAGCATTGGACACATTCGATGATCGATCGTATCCACGAATGACGGAAATTTTAACTTAGATTTCGATAAAGAATTGCTTGTCGAAGACGTTCAACGTGGATGTTATGCAGTATGACGTGAACGTACACTGCATGTAGGCAAGTTACAACGATTACTTTGTAATCCTTCTGCATGCAGGAATGAAATATTGATCACAATGCATTTAATCATTTCATATAACCTCAATGCACTAAGTAAACTTTACACATATGCAAATAGCGTACGTGTTGTATATTAAGCATGTTTGTATACATGCTTATTGCAAACACACACATACATAAGCTTCCTCCTACGAGAACGACTCCATCATGCCTGTCCCACACCGAATAACGCGTATGTTGTATGTGTGTATGTGTATGCGCATGTATGTAAGTGACACATGTATGTGTGTATGTGTATTCTATTGAATTGTTGTACGGAGGTGAGCTTATTGATTCGTGGCAATAAGCCTCGTCCTGCTTTCTACTTCTTCCCAGCTTATTTGCCGTTCAGATGCACATGAGAGTCTGTGTGTGTACACACACACACACACACACACACACAAGTTCATGCAGATGTGTGATAGGTGCATATATACTATTTATCTGCGTATGTAATCTGTATGAGTGTTTGTGTACGTGTGGTATTTCATCTTCTCTGTTATCACTGATAGTATGTGTTGTTATAGTTGTCGTCTTTCGTTATCACTGCCGTCATTGATATCGCCATATTTATTGATTTGATCATCGTTAATTATCACCTCGGTTAGTATCATTTATACTGCAGTATGAAGGATCGGCCGAATGAACGAAAGGAAAGAAATGATAAGCAGGATGATTCGGTTATCACTGTGAGGGTCCTCCATTGCACTCTCTTCTGTCTACTAATACTACTAGCAGCACTTTGCGCGTAAGTCGTGCTGTTTACCCAGGAGGCTTTGGTGTACTCGTGCACGCATTGCGGCCATGCTGTCGCCTATGATTTTAATGGAATCAGTATGCTGAAGTGTTTACTGCCACTTTTGTTGATACTCCTAATTTATATACATTAGTTCTTAGCACTGACGTACGTGCTAGTCGCCGGCGGAGGAAACGTACGTTTTGCCAATGGCTGCCTTTACTCTTGCTAAGGTTCGTTTTATTTTGATTTTCTCTCACTTCCAAGTAAAAAATCGGATATTCTCCATTTCTACCGGATTCATTCCGATTGTACTAGTTACTACTACCTGCTGCGTCACTTCATGTCAACTTGGTGTCTATCAAGTTTATTTGTTCCCTACATTGAGGCTGCTGTTCTCCAATTATTTTTATAGCACTTAACAGTTAGTTGTACTGTTAAACGTGCCAATGAAGTTAGGAGATTGCCTGTGGAAAATTCATGTATTTGTGGATTTTTTGCCGTCGACTTCAACTTTTTGTTTCTGTTTAACCCATCTTTAAGACTGATCTTTTTAAGTATTTATTAATTGTTCAACCTGCTATAATTTCTACTCTCCAGTGTGTTTTTTCGTATTGCTGTTTCAGCAAGTTGCATACCTCGAAAAGTTTGTTAAAAAACATATGAAGTGACATGTCCATTTCTTGAGTGGGAAATAATGATATAATCTTTAGTATCCAAAGCAGATTGGTTTTCCGTAGAGTTCACTGTGTTCCTTACTGGAAAATAGAAATGCAGTTGTGTTACCTAATACATTCATAAAGTGCATTGCTTATTGTTTACTGTAATTTCATAAAAGCGATAGAAGAGCTTAGTAATATTATGTAATACGACAATAATGCCTCATTATGTATAATTATTCTGCATGAAAATACTAAAATGTTGTGATAATGTAAAAGTTCAGAGATGCTATCTGGTGGAAAAACTAAAGTTTTTGGTTAAAAAGTATGAAATGCTAGTAAGCAATCAATCATGATGCAATGTTTCCTGTATGTTTTGATAAACTGAAGATTTAAATTCATCCTTAAAAAAGTTTTCGCTAAGAATTTGTTCTTAAGAAAATAAATTGTATTTGCAAATCTAAGACCTAACTCCTTAAGGGATCTCTTTTTTTTTTTTTTTACGGCTGACAAGCACATTGCACTCCATGCAGTACAATATTACAGCTTGAGATCATGAACCAAAAGAGATAAAATCAAGTAACAATGAGCTTTTCATCTTTTTATTATTCTTTAATGAATTTTTTCTTCCTTTTATTTTTTATGTTTGATTGTAGTCTATAGACAGAAAAGAAGCAGTGTAAAGCTAGAAAAAGTGTATATCAATATATTTCTGGAGAGTA